AAGAATTAAAGAATCAAAGTAGAGAAAGGGAGGGAGGGCGGTGTAATAAAGCGTTTTAAGTTGGAAATCTATTCTATCGGTCACACCCTTTGCACCAATTGACACGACGCGTTGCGGGAGATTAAGCCGTTTGTTGCTCGACGACCGTTCCGTCAACCCGAGCCCCTCTTGTCGAAACAAGCACTGTATAAGGAAAGAATGGGAGGTATTTATACACTTCCCTCTGATCCCTGCGTTAGGAAGACGAGGAGATTATCGTGTGAAAGATGAACATTTTGTTTCTATCAAAACAACAAGCTCAGCCGGCCGGGGAGGCCCTCCTCTCTCCGGCAATTAGTGACGGTCTGCAACCTTGCTCAAGGGCGGTGGGATTTTCTCGTGTGTTTCTTAGGGGAGGGTCACCGAATTCCTTCGGCAGCTACCGGGACTCAAAAGGAGCACCCCAAGGTGTTACCGCGTGACTTCAATTTAATGGCAGGACATGTCGTTGAAGAGGGAGGTAAACAAAGAGAGGGTTGCAGGAAGTTAAAGTAGCAGTGCCAAATTATTTTACTGCGTGAATTGTAATTACATCACAGCCACACGGTTACCAGCTCAAATATTCTCAGCGATATTGTGCCTGTTTTTCTGTGGCAACTAAACACTTAAAAATGTGAGTTAAAACTGAAGAAAAAGTTGTTGACTTCCTGCAAACATTCCACAACTTCTTGAAAAGTTTTAAATGTAATTGTTTCAGTTTAAAGGTAAATATATTCTGCATCTTGCTACTTTGGAAAGTTGGCCACCAACCAGAAAAAAACAGTGTGTTTTGTTCAACAGGGGCATGTTATATCACAAACACTCCACAGGTGAGGAGAGGGACTCTGGAATTGACTTTTCTACATGGACCGGGCAGCCTGCGAGTGTTTCGGGAAACTGATTTCACATAAATTCCGAGAAACATTAGGATTTATTTTTTAAGAGTTGCTAATGGTACATTTAACCACAAAATCTCTACATCGGGAACAATTGTTCCTGCTTTTCTGTTACCGTGGATTTACTGAGAGTCTGACACTTTCTTTTCTCATTGTCCTGAGCAGAACAAACTTTGTTCTTGTTTTTGTCAAGTAAACACATTTCTTCATTCTTTCGGAGCATGAAGAAATGTGTTTCTTCATGCTCCGAAAAAGCCTCAAATACATCAAGATATTTTAGTAATACGGTCAAACCAACAGAATGATTCTGTTTCTGAAACTTGCTTATTGTAAATTTGAGGTTATTTGTAAGTTGCTGTTACGCAACAAGCTGTTTAGAAGTTGCAGGAAACAGATTGCTCAAGTTGTTAAGTAGACAAGTAAACTTATAAATTATGTGGATCCTACAAAGTTATGAATCTAACTTGCCAAAAACATAAAAATGAAGATGGAAAAGTAATTTGTTTACACAATCAGATATATGTTGCTTTTTTAATAACTGACAGGAACTAAAGACTTCATGTTTGACACGTTAAAATCAATCATGCACAACCTCATTGTTGCATTTATTTATGTTTCCTCAACAACTATTACTAGTTTCAGCTAATTTACTATTGATTCAATTTGGACCTTCATGTTTTCCAGTATGTGGAGAAAAGTTCCAACACTTTTGCTGAGGTTCATTTAATATTAAATGTAAACCAGCGGTGCTAGTTGGAATCTGAGGGCAATTTAAATTTTAAAAGCAATAGCCCATGATCACGCACACAAAAGCCCCGTTAATTAAAGCTGTTTCTGCAGGTTTAGCTGATCTTTTAGTCAGATGTTTTGTCTCATTAAGGTCATCGACTTGAGGGTAGAGTTGAGGAACTTTTCTTAATTTTTTTTTGTTGTTGTTTACCGCTAAAACATGGTTGCAGTGCAATATCAAGGAAGAGTTGGCCGTAAAAGAGGAAAATACAAAGGCAAAAGAAAGAGTAGCGGGGTATTTGACAGTAGTGGAGGTGTGGATGTGGTGTGGGTTAACAGGGGAAGAAGAGCTGGGGGTCATGGTGGGGTAATGGCGGTCGCCTGGCCGCTGACAGACAGGCCAATCTTCTGTCTGGACAGGCTCAAGAGAGATGTGTCAGTCTCTGCCGGCACCCCGGGCCAGGCGCACCCACACGCAGCTAAATGTGTATTGGCAAAGTGTCGGTGCCAATGCCATTAGCCAGCAGACTTAAATTCCCCCCTGTAATTTTCAACGGCGCTCCTCGTTATTGGCACCTCTGATGGGTCGAGTATTTGAGTCCTAATTCACTTTAAATGGATGGCTGGTGGCGGTGAGCAGCCGGGCGACTTGTTATCACTCCTACGAGACAGTAAGGTCCACGCGCGTATGTTCACGAGCCTATCCGCCGATGCTCAACCCAGGAAAAGCTAGGAAGTTAAGTCATGGAAATAACTGATAATGATGACGGAAAATGTAAAAATCTGAATTTTAGCTGTACAAAACCTTGTTTTTTCCATTAATTACCAATTTTCTTTTTTGCTCTTTTTAACATTTAAAGCTGCAGTATGTAACTTATTAAGAAATATGTTTTTTTGCATATTTGCTATGTCGTGACAGTTTATTTTACAAAACAGATAATCTGTGAAAAAATTGTCAGAAATACACCACTCAGTCAGAAACCACCAATCTGAGTCAAGAGGAGGGCCTTAGCGCTGTCAATCACCCTCGTGCTTACCCTCGCTTGCTTGCTCTTTGCTAAGCTACAGCTGGTTCACCATAACACAGCCTGCTCAGTTAGCATAGCATAACCGATAACAGCATAGAAGCGGTTTTCCTAGAACGGTAAGTTATTTTTCCACCATTAGCAGCATTCACTGACAGCACTAAGACCCTCCTCCTGGTTTTGATTAGTCGTTTTTGTTAAGAAGCAGTAAATTTTTTTAGACAGCAATAATATCACTGAGAGGAAGCAGAGGAAATCAGTCTTTTCACCAATTATCTGTCTCATATTGTCACGACTTGGTGACAGTTTTAACAAATATGAAAAAAAAAATACACTTCTGTAAAACTTCCACACTGTAGCTTTAAACTGGATAAAATTAGGATATAATTCATAGATATACATCATAAATACAGGTTATTTGTCTATCAATACAAACAACTCGACATGTTTTATCAGAGAGAAAAAGGAATAAAAGGTCTACTGGGGTTGTGATCTAATTTGCAGGATCACAGTTACAAACCAGCTTAACCAGGTGAGCTTGACAAGAGCATAAAAAACAATGTGGATTTAACATCTGAGTCAAGGTCTGCCTGGGTGCTCATGTCACAGTGTCACAAGAACTGACAACATTTAGACAATTTTTTGTTTTCTTTTCTGACAAATACAAACTCCTTGGCTTACAGACACTCTTTCACAAAGTGACGTGACAGAGATATCTCTATGTTTTGAAAGTAACTGAATTAACATCAAAGGCGCCACAACTTGGAAATTATGATTCATGCTGATAAAAAAAAAAATCAGTTTCTGTTTATGGACACAAAACCAACTTTAGAAAGGTTTTTTTGTTGTTGTTAGCATCAAGCCTGCAGTTCTAATGTCAAAAACAGAAAAATGCTTCAATCAGCATAAGTAATAAACATCAATGAGTTTGTTCATAATTAATCAAATAAATATGTCTTTAAGTTTAAGTTTCCAACTTAATTTTTTTTCTACATTTTTATGGATTGTGTAAGAAACGTAAATAAACTCACCCAAGCAAAATAGATTAATCTAAATGTTGTGAAATGACTCTACATGTAGCCTTAATTTTGAAAATCACAATGGTCATTATAGGGATTAAAAAAATAGTGTAAAAAAAACCAAACAATTTTTAATACCAATTTTTTTTGTTTGTTGAATTTCAATTAATGTCTGGATTAACGACAGAATTTTAAAACATTTCAACAGTTTTAATGGTTTAAAAGTCCTCAGAAATGTTTTTAAACTAGAAGTCGAACTATGTAGTAGTACAATAAAATGCTGTTCTAACTACAACTGAGTATACTTTACAGCATGATTGCTGTCACATGCGACATAGTTTGTAATCTACTTTTATATATATATATATATATATATATATTACTCTACTTAAAAACTGTCCATATTTCCACCACAGTGCATTTGTTGTAATGTACCATCTGAATGTGAGAGTTTAGGTTAAAACTATACTACATCCTATTCTATTTAAAAACTCTAATCTATAAAACACGCATGAAAACTACCCCAAAACATATTTTATCAAAGGAACAGGTCAAGAGGAGAGGAGACGAAATTTAAAACAGATGCGTTTTCTTGGTGATATTTTGCCCTGATCTGAGGCCTTTTGTTAACTTTTCGGTCCGACCCCGCATGTGGTCTTGACTGTAATTAGCATTTAATCTAATTTCAAAGGTTCTCTGCCTAATTCTCAATGGATGACGATAGAATTAGTGCAGAAAGGAGAGATGTTTTTAGTTCCTCTCACTATCTGTGACCCAAAAAACACATTAAAACCGCTAGAATTTTCATGAGCTAAAGAGAGTGAAGTTGTTGTGGATTCTTGAGGGATTTGTAGCTTCCAATCTCTCTCTTTCTCTCTCTCCTTTAAATCGTTTTAGTGATCTCCCTTTCTTTTTTCCCCCTCATTCTCTCTATTCTTCCCCCTGTCTCCCTCGCAGCGACAGCGTTGCCCGTCGTGTGTCGAGGGAATACGGCATTCGTCAGGCCAAGGCAAACACATGCACGCAAAAAACACACACGCAAATGTTAAATAACTACATACAGGAGCAATTTAGCTCTGCCGTAATTTGTATATAGTGTCTGACAACCTTGCTGGAGAAGTTTTCACCCCAGAAATGCTAAGTAGTCCCAGCAGGAGTCAGTCAGGAAGAGGAGAGGGGCTCTTTGCTTTTTAATGTATTCTTCTGGAGCCCAGAGGCCTCCGAAACGCCGCGCGTCTTCACCGCTATGCTGTACACACACGCTAGCTAGCTCTCTCTCGCGCGCGCGCACGCACACATGCGTACGAGCGCGCTCGCTCACATAACTGTCAGCCTCTGAAGGAGCAGCGCTAATGGGGCTGTTTTTAATGAGCCAGGAAGAGGAGAGTGACCCTTCGAAGGTGAATATCTCTATTTCTCTGAGTTGTTTTTCTTTTCTTTTTTTTTTTTTTTTTGCTGCATGGCAATGAATGCACGCACACATGTCCTCGTGCATTTACAGAAAAACTTATGATTATTTATCTCTAATTGTTTCTAACTGGCATAATTAGTTTTGAGCTCTGGGCTCGTTCATTCATCCAGTTCTCTCATCAGGAGCGACATCAGAAGGCAGAAATGTGTGTGTTTCGGGGGTTTTTTTTTCTCTTTCTTTCTTTATGGCTGGAGAGCTTGCATAAATTGCACCGGTTTTGGAAAAAGAAAAAGAAAAAAAGAAAAAGAAAGTAGCCCCCACAGCAATCGTCCTCCGCAAAGCTGCAGGAGATCCGGTGATTTCCTCAAGTTCCAGTTCACGTTGCAAGGGACATATCCATCCCCCCAGACAACCATTTCACTTTATTTCACTGATTTTATGATCTTTCCCTTGCACAGACGGATAGATAAATAAAAAAAGAGGGGAGGGGGAAGAAAAAAGGGAAAGAAAGAGGCAGTTCTAAAAACAGCCAAAAGATGGCACACTCTGTATGGCAACATGGAGGGTTGTGACGAGCATTGTGGTTGTCTGTATTTAACCTAGAACCTGGAGAGCATCCTGTGTCTCCTCTGCTGGGAATCTTCTGCTACTTCTAGGAGTCAAGGATGGAGAAGAAGAAGAAGAAAAGGAAGAAGAAGAAGAAGAAGAAGAAGCAGTCAGGTAGGTGAACGGATGTCACGCTTCTGTTCATGTTGCTCAACAACCCTTGGCGTGACTACCTTCGATTTCTTTTTTCTTTTTTTTTTTTACACTTAAACAAGCCTGAGGATATATAGCTGTGACATTTTATCTCGCAGCCCCGGGTTCATTGTGTTGGCAGAACATGTGGAGCTGCAGAGCAATCTGTGAACACACGGCTAGAAGTAATGGTTCTTCTGATGTTCAGCGTCTCGCGGAGGAAACAAATGCACCGACTAACCAGATGGGACGCGTCTTATAGTGTGTGTTAATATTTCGGTGGTTAAAATAGATGGAGAAGAAGAGGAGGAGGAAGAGGAGGAGGAGCGGAAAAAGATCATTTCATACATCATCTTTAAAGGAAAAACTGCCAGGAGTGATCCTCATTAATCCGAGCTGAATTGTCTCTTTTCTCGTTTTGTTTAATCTTTCTTCTTTTTTTTCTCCTTTACACCTGTGAAGCAGTTTTATGTCTGTATGAAACACGTTTTCTATAACACACTAAAAGAACTGGGATGTCTTTTTTGGGGGGGATTGAATTAATTGGTAGTTATTACATTATTATCATCATCAACAAAAAAAAACAAGTGTAAAAATGTGAAATAGGCTCGTTTTGAATAGATTATGATTCGTGATGTGCCAATATAACAGTTTATATTCACACATGTAATGAGCACAAGCTGATATGAATACTTTAAAAAACGTTGTTTTTTTTTAATTATTACTTCTACGTATTATCAGCTCTCTGTTTTCATACTGTCTACATACATTGTGGAAGCGAATGTCAGCCACACACACACAAACACACACTCTGAACATCACACACACTCCTCAAAGGCAAACACGCGCAAGCACACCCCGGATGCTACGAGAGCACTGAAAATCAATGTGACAGGTTTCAGTCGTCCCTCAGTGTACACATCCCCTCTCAGAGTCTCTCCTGACATCTGCTCGATTACCTCCCACAGCCAAACACACACACACACGCTCGTGCACACACACCAACTCCCCGTGGCCGCTCTAAGCCCCTCTGAGCTATAAGAAATGGAGTCGGCGCAGGAGAAACCAGATACTGCTGGCTGTGTCACATCGCGTTTGCCGCCACCCGTCAGAAGCCGGCGTGTTTGAGTGCCAGACGTTCTGACAGCGTCAGTCATTCCCAGGCCCGGCAGCGGGTGGTGGGACGACGATGAGGAGGAGGAGGAAGCGGAGCAGGGAGGGGAGCCGGGCGGGCGGACCTTGATCACCAGAGTCTTGCTCTTACAGGGGAAGAGTGACAGGAATCTGTGCAAACCCACAAGATGTGCTGTGATGGATGATACGTCTTCAACATTTGTAGACAAAGGGCAAAAAAAAAAAAAAGAAAAGTTTTACATTCATACTTTCGAAACAAAAGAATATAGATTTCATTCAATCAGAACCTCTAGTGGCTCACGAGACGAGACACGATACGTAGTTCACAAAATTTTAATAATGTTCTCAAGAAAACTTCGAAGATCAAATATATTTTTCATAAAGGCCTTAATTCTGTACTTTTATAGAGTTTACTTGAATTGTGGTCTGCAGTACAACATTTCCCAGTGACTATAGTGGGTTGTGATTGTTAAGTAGCTCAACATACCCATAGACATCCATTCATTGGTTGTTATAGTGATGCTTCTGCCTCTTTCAGCCTCTGAACAACTTTCATACATTGTTTGTGTCTTGTCTGCCACTACTGCCATTTATAGTTCATACAGGGAACTGAAAATGCTTCCAAGCAAGTGATTTAGGTTTATTCAGGTGAAGCCATACTGACTGCAAATGGGTAGCGCTCACGAGATAGCAGTCACCTCAATAAGAAATAAAGTGACTTATTAATATCTTGTACAAGATCTTGTCACACCCTTAATTTCAAAACTGCTACAGTTTACCATCATTTAATTTTATGGTTGAAAGTCCTTTTAACAAGAAACCAGTGACACTACTAGCTGGCTGGATTTAATGCTGCTTTATCTTTGCTTACGTGAAAGACAAATTTAATTGTTTGGAAATACTACATTTATGGCAGGGAAATAAAAGGAGCTCCACCCAGCACTCATATCGATAGCATTATTTTACAACAACAGCTTGCAACATACAACCTGCATGTCTGTAAATCAGCTAGCTATCATTGCTGGTAGTGCCGCTAGTTTCCTAGCTTAGATCCAATGCTGCATTATAAGAAGATGGAACAGCAAAAACGTGTAATATTCTCTGAATCAAAACTTTAGTGTGTGTTTTTTGGTTAAAATATATAATTTCACAACTGCATTCAGCAACATAAACCTGAGTGTCTGTAATTATGACCGCTATAGCTGGCTACCAGAGAAAATAACCCCGCTGGTTAGCTAACTTGTTAGATACAATGTTGCTTTACAGCAAGGCAGAACAGCAAAAAAGGTGTAATATTCTGTGACATAAACGCGTTAGTGTGTTTTTTTCTTTGGTAAAACTATTAATACATTACACAACGTAGTTTAAAAATCTAATGCGGAAAAAGTTATAAGATTTAGACTAAGAAAAAGAAGGAAAAGTTTCATATTTCTACATTCAAAAGAAAATACTGCAAATCTGAACACATTAAAGAGACCTTCGAATGGCTTTCTAAACCCCTTCAGGTGTGTCTTTCTGTCTGGTTTGCACGTTCGACAGCTGGCACCTTGATGATTGAGCTCCGTACTTTGTCAGACCTGTCGCTCAGACTTGAATTTTTATCTCATTTCTTGCTGCTTTAAGAAGCAGGGAGAGAGCAGAATGTCAAACCAGAAGGAGGGCAGATAAAAGCTGCCTACTAACAATCATATATGACAGTTAAGGACACACACACACACACACACACACACACAGGAAGAGGGGGAAACACAGGTGCACAGTCAAACCGAGCTGCACCTCATGCCTCCTATGTCCACAGAAGATGTTGACGGCAGCCCGGTTTGTCAGGTCATCTGACAGCACCTTGAGCTCCCCTGTGGCCGCCGGGTTTCAAGACAGCAGGACAGCGGGCGCGGACAGCAGCACCTTGGAGCCCCACCTCGTCTCGCGCCGTGCGCCTCAACCCCTCCACTCCGCTCGAGCCTCGCCTTTTTCCTCACTTTCAGCCTCACCCAGGCTTCAGAAGAGTCTGGACAGGATGAGAGCTGATGGACAGGCTGTCTCTGGTGTGAACCCATCGCCCTCTCCGACTGACGTCATGGAGAGACATGCAAAGACAGCAAAGTTTTATATAGATACATAGTGAAGGCTGTTGGATGTACATCATATAGGCTGTTGCCATTTCCTTTCTTTGTGCTAATTTTGAGGGAGCCAATAGCTGCTTAAAATCCCTCTGATTTGCCTGTAAAAGTAGAAAAATATTTTATTTCTTTAAAGCAATAACATTAAAAAATGATGTCCTGGAAATAACCCAAAGTAAAACCAAGTAAAGGCGTTTACATCAAAATAGGATGGCAGATTTACAGTGAAAACTATTTGTATAAATTGAAAATGCCCAAGTATTATTTCTTGTTTAAGAGTTTCTGTTCTATTCAAAGGTCATAAGAAGAGAATATCTTAGTAACTTTGTGTTGGGATCTCAGTTTGGCATAAATCCAGATAAGCTGATTGTGGAATCTCGAGCTAATGGTTATTTTGACCAAAGTGGACTTTTCTCACCTTAAAATTACTATAGTTTAAAAAAAAAATCAGAACATCCTATTTTCTTAAACACTGCAAAGTCGTCATGTTTGCATTTGGTGGTTACTTATGAAAAATCAGGTTCTTATTAACACAGGAAATTGAGTTTGGAGGTGGTGCACCTCCAGTAATCTTCCTGAGTGAAACAGATACTGAATGGAACATGTAGAGCATCAGATTTGAGTGATGGTATGTCAGCAACAAAAATATTGTTGTGGTTTTGGTAAGGAATATTTTCAAATTTATTTACCGTATTTTCCGCACTATAAAGCGTACCGGATTATAAGGCGCATAGAATAGAAGCTACAGTAGAGGCTGGAGTTATGTTACACATCCACTAGATGGAGCTGCACTAAAGGGAATGTCAACAAAACAGTCCGACTCCGGTTGGCAAGGAGAGCCTTCCGGGACTGGGCTGGGGCGTGGCCGGACAATGGTCACCCTTCTCAGTTTGCGCACAGCATGTTCGTGGAGAACGTGGTGCTAAATGACCTGCAGACGACCTGATTATAGACGGTCTAGATAGGTCAGTCAAACTTTAATAACAAACCAGCGTTCTGACAACTATCCCAGCATGCACCGCACGCTTCTTCTTCTACAGCCGAAAATGAAGTCGGCAGCTGCTTACCGTAGTTGCTAGATCTGTTGTGGCTGAATATTAGTCCTTAAATAAGGCGCACCGGATTATAAGGCGCACTGTCGGCTTTTGAGGAAATTGAAGGTATTTAGGTGTGCCTTAGTGCGGAAAATACAGTATTTTTTTTTTTACACAGCTGTTATTTTAGCCACCTTAAATCAAGATCAAATATGATCTTGAATGAACATTTAAAATTTATATAGTAAATAATGTCAGATTTTTTTTTTTATCAAGGAATGAGAATCTGTTTCAATAAGAAGAAAAAGATCAATCTTTGTCTTTAAGCTTCTTTATTCGAAGGCAAAAGCGCTCAAAATAACCAGTAAAAATAAACATTACCACTGCTAAGAGGCCAATAATAGTATTTAAATTGCTATTAAAATTTTAAGACACTAGAAGTACACTTTAATTCTGGCCCCCTCTAAGGCGAGATATTAGCTTCAATCTCCTGGAACAGCTAAGAGAGCTAACTCCTGTAAGATTTTGACCACCTATAATCTTCTAAAAAAAATCATGGACTGTCCCTTTAAGTCACCGCACTCATGTATGTCCAAATGAGCCTTTGCCAGAAGGAAGCAGCGAGACGCTTGGAATGCAACGTGCACTTGAAGATAAATGTTTCACATTCTCCGTGGAGCTCAATGAGGGCTGC